CTTCCTTGTTTCGAAACCCCTCAGTGTTCTGGATTGTTACAATGTATTCAGTATGACTGATCTCTCTCAGCCTGGCACAGCTGCTCCTTCTTGTGCACTTTTGTGTAGTCCTGAATGAGTGTGTGGGGTTTTTTTTTCTTCTCCCCCACACACCACCTAATCGGTTAGATTTTTCAAAAGTGTGCTAGTTTGCCTCTTGAAGCTTCAAATATGGAGTAATAATGCATGGCTGTGCGATGATGGCGTTCTACTGAAAGGTTCTGTACAGAGGCCAGGAGGGGCAGTGACAGAAGTTGATGACAAGAACTGGGTGGATTGGGTGGGGTGATACTATGTAAATCTCTGTGGAGGATGTCTCCACCTTCTGGACAGGATCAGCCGGTTTGAGCTGCTTTGTGCTGTCATTGGGCGATTGTTAGGGCAGGGTGCCTTCCTTTCAGTATGCATGCGACCTTCACTGAAACTGCAGCTTTTTGTAAGTGCGCACTGCGTTGATCTGACAGTGTTATGCAGTGCTACTTGGATGCAGCTTTGATAAGGTTGTATGATTAACAATGGACTGGAATTGTGCCAAAGTAGTACAGGAACGGTTTCCAAAATGGCTCTAAGTTGTATTGTGAACTGACACCATTGAAAACCATGTGCTTTTTCCTTTTGTGACAAGTCACATCTGAAATCTCAACAGTGTGAACCAGGTTTTAACCCTTTTTTTTTCTCTCATTTCAACAGGATGCATGGCTACATCTCTGTAGTAAAACCTTTTAAAGTACAGCTCTGGGATAAAGTTTAAGCTGTTCATCCTAGAAACGAAAAAAGTCAGCAGCTACAAAATACTGTGGCTGCTCACTTGCCTGTCCAGGGATCCAGTGCCATCCTCATCCGAGCTGGCATGTTTACTTTGAAAAGCCAGCTGTGACTGCTTATGGCTTCATAGCCATCTGTCCATTGCGCATATGCGAGATGCACTTTGTGGATGGTCCTACAACTTTCTGGGATATGTGACATGTCCCAGAAGGCTGCGGAGTAAAGGTGGGTCATACTTCTGTTTGGATCACTGCAGTGATCTGACTGGAAGTGAGTACCTACCAAAATGAAGTATCTGCTCTCCAAAAAGTATAAATTGCCATAACTTGGGACAACCCCTGTTGGGTGAAGTTTTGCTTAGCTAGTCTTTAAAAGGGAAAAAAAAGAAAACGTTCCTCCTCATAATAACTTTGACTAATCTGTGAGATAAAGATCTGCGTACTTGCCCAGGGTGGATTTGATTTACTTCACTAGTGAGAAGGCTTGACTTAAATCCTAATTTTTAAAGCACCACTGTCAGTTGTCCTGCAGTGGCTCCTCCTCTGCTTATGGCTTTATAGCCGTCTGTCCACTGCGGATATGCGAGCTGCACTTTGTGAATGGTCACTATTGACTCGCCAACAGTCCCATTCACTTTATTGGGACGGCTGGTGATGCGGCAGTGACACAACAAGGTGAGGGACGTGGCGGCAGCAGGTGAGTGGATGTCCGCTAACAGGTACTGCCATAATGCATCTAAAATGAAAGGTGCTCTTTCAATGTAAGGAATCCAACTTGTTGGTGGTAGCATGTTTAATATTTGCAAACCAAATGGTTTCCTTTAGAATAAGCTGTCAGGTTAGTAAAACAGCAATATCAGAACCGATTTTAGGTTAATCACACATAGTTGAACTACTCAAATCCTTTTATTTCAAGTTTTTTTTTTTTTTTTTTTTTTTTTTTTTTCCTTCCCCCTCATGGTTACTGTGAAATTGTGCATGTTATCTCAGCTTGCAGAGCTTGGACTCATTGAATGAGTTTACCAAATATGTGAATATTGTAGAATATACAGCCTCGTGCTACATAACCAAGTTCCATTTCATGCTGAATAAACCATTATTAATCTATCTTAAATAGAAGACATCTTTAGGTTTTTAAGCATTTTATTAAAATCCAATTTAAAAAAAAATCTTTCACTTTTTTTATTTTTTTTCATTTTTATCCACCCTGTACTTTCCTATTGTTAACATGATCACCCTGTATCAGACAGCAGTGGCTGTAGGGAAAAGGAGGGAGCACTTAATGGCTGGTAATGCCTGAGTGGTGACATCACCCATAGGCTTACTATGACCCATCTGCTTTCTATGCTTCCTCATCTCTGAAAGCGCGCGCACACAGGAGCTGGATCATGTGACTGCACTGGAGTGGCCTGCAAATGGGCATGTTTAAAGATCTTTCTTATACAGGTTACTTAGTGTTAGGGGGCATTTTTAAGGTTAGTTAGCTATATTGTGAAATTCTAATGTAAAGCCAATACTCCTGTAGGAAAGTATCTGGGAACTCCTACAATGGGGTACAGACTGCAAATGTAAACATATACAGAAACTCTTAGGCCAGTTCACACTACAGCAGCTCTGAGCTGCACTTTGCACACGCATGGCAGACCATTCATTTGCCATGCTCTTGAAAGGGTCCCTTCATCCTTTTTTTTTCTTCTTTTTTTATTGCCGTGGAAACTACAAGTGCAGTGTGATTCTCAGTGCTGCTGTGATTTCCAGGGCATGTGGGTGCCATTAGGAATAATGGCACCCACACGCTTTGGCACATTTTTCTGTGCAGGTGGTTGTGGGAGCAGGTGCAGTCCTGCAGCCGCAATCGCCTGCACAGATGTGAACCTTGCCTTAAAGATTTTCAACCTCTCCATGCTCCCCTTACCCGTTTATTATACAGTTTTCTTTGATGTACTGTTCCTATTATATACTTGCACGCCTACTGGATTCAGCATTGTCTATTGTAATCTGCTGTTGAAGGTCTGGACCCACGCCCATCTTCCTTTGTTGCGTCATAGGAAGCGGACTGTCAGGGTGCCAGCTGCAAGAGCTCAAAATGGACAATGTGGTACACGTGCAGTTTCTCTAGATTGTTCTGAAGCCTCCTGGAATGCATTACATGAGTATCTCAGGAGACTTTGGACAGCTGAGGGTTGTCTATTGCTCTTGGGTTTTTTTTTTTTTTTTTTTTTTTTTTTTTTTTTTAAATGCGTTTGAAAGAAACTTTCTTTAACACACAGGATAAAAATTGAAGAGTGGAGGTCGTCTGCTTTAGGTTTAAGCTGGATATCTGTGAAGAGTCTTCTGTGGGGGGGGGGGGTTAGTGATAATTTGAATTGGGATGGCCAGTCCAGTTAGGGAATCTTTGAACAGTACCTTTCTGTAGGGAAGGCACCTCTTTAAGGTAGCAACATATATTTGTTAGACTGTGTGAGCTGTCATGTTTTTTAAAAATGGAGATGGTTGTATTTCATTGACCTACAGTCCTAATAAAATTGAAGATTGGCAAGCAGTCTTAATTCTGTGGTGTACTTATGTTTTGGTAAGGGGTTTCTTGGCATGTGGTTCCACTTTAATTGCCCTCTATGTATAGGATTGTAGTATGTGTAAAAGTGCATATGTCTTGAGGAAGCCAACTGCTTTCTGTCCTTTTTTTAAAAACCAAATATAGACAAACTGTATGCTGTCTAATACTTTCATGTGCTCCTAAACAGCTGAACGAAAAGATGCCCTTGGCTAGTTGGCCATCTGCTTTGCACTGAAAGTTTGCACAACAGGATGTAGAATACTAGTTCAGACAGGATCTGACTAACTAGGCATAAGGGTGTATCTTTGTACGCATTGTGTATTGGTTCGCTTGCTTTTACTTAAGTGGTGGTGGTTTTTGTTTGTGTTTTTTTTTTTTTTTTTTTTTTTTTTTTTTCAAACATCTGCAGGTTAATTTACATTTTCTGGGAAAGTGTTTGTGAAAGTGCAATAAGGGCATAAGATTCTAAGGCATGTAGAGCAATGGGGCTGTACTTCTGTGCTATGCATTATGATGGCATGGTATAATCAGAACATATAGACCTGTTTTTTTTTTATATATGAGATTCTAGAGGTAGACTTATTTTTCTGACATGATCATGTTCTTGTGAACAGTCTAAACAAGATACTGAGGTCAGTTAAATCCCTTTTTATTGAAATCTTATAAAGAGGTAAAGCCAAAGATCTTTTGGCCATACCTCTATGGCTTACAGGGAATGATCTTGAGCGCTATGGTTTTTGGTCTTAGAGTTTGGGTACAAACCAAGCTGAGTAGGGTTTTTTTTTTTGTTGTGTTTTTTTTCCCCTCCCCTGACATGTTGTCAGTAAAAAAAAAAAAAAAAAAAAAAAAAAAAAAAAAAAAAAAAAAAAAAAACTGATGCACATTGGATAGATTAGAAGCATCTGTTGTAGAAACTGTCCAGACATGGCAATGGCAGTTTCTGCTCTAGGACTGTCCCCCCAATGTTTCACCCAAAAGGGCTCAAGTCTGATTTAAGCCCTGATTGGTTGGAATGCTTTAGCGCACAGGCTGCAATTGCCATTTCTGGATATTTCTACAGTAAATGCAAATGTGTAGCAGCCTTTAACCCTCAGTTGGGAATGTGATTGGTTTGGCCTGCTTCCTGCACCTGCTGTGTGTGGCCTTTGGAGCAAGTCCTCTTAATCTGAATCCAATATGTAGGTTGGGCTAGAAAATGTGTGGGGAGAATAGGAAGTTTGTACAATGATGTCTGTATTGTACATATTGCTTGCCCTACATGAGCCAAGGTGGTGGTTGTTGTGTTTTTTTTTTTTTTGTTGTTGTTTTTTTTTTGTTTTTTTTCCTCCCCTCTCACTTGGTTGCTTTAATACATTTCTCTGCACAATGGATGTTTTTGGTCTTTCTTTTTCAACCTGGAAAATAACAGCATGCACAACTGACATCAGTCCCTTAGCATGCAGCTTTTTATGCATAACCTCTGATGTCAGTGAAGTTGTTGGTGGGTGGTGTAGTAGGCCACAGTAAAAACTAAATGTAACATGCATGAAGGGGATCCTTATCTTGCTGAAGACCTCTTGAGGCTTTATAGCTTTATTCTATGCAGTGATTTTTGATCAGCATTCAACTTTCTAATATCCTTTACTTGCTTTCTTTTACAGCGTGAGTGCATATCCATCCATGTTGGTCAGGCTGGAGTTCAAATTGGTAATGCTTGCTGGGAGCTGTACTGCCTGGAGCATGGTATCCAGCCTGATGGGCAGATGCCAAGTGACAAAACAATTGGTGGAGGAGATGATTCTTTCAACACATTCTTCAGTGAGACTGGTGCTGGGAAACATGTCCCCCGAGCAGTGTTTGTGGATCTGGAGTCTGCTGTTATAGGTATACTAATGTAGCTTGTGAACAAAGTGGTTCTAAAGCCAGGACAAATTTTTATGTCAATGGTTTCCCTGCATTAAGGTGACGAAAAGTCCCAGTATTTGTATACCCCCCCCCCCCCCCCCCCCTTCCCAGCCATACACTCATTCTAGGTTTGTGTCCACCTCCTAGTAGCTCTCCTCTCCTTGCATTCACAACAGAGGCAGCAATGGGAGCTTTTGGCTTCCGCTGTTATGGAATCCTGAGAGCAGGGGACTGGACACACAGCCTAGGCTTGGGAGCCACACCATAGGAAATGGAGCCTAGAGCACTGGCAGGGGACCCCAAAAGAGAAGGTTTCAGGGCCCCTCTGTGCTCTAACATTTCATAGAACATGTTTTTTTTTTTTTTTTTTTTTTTTTTTTTTTTAATTAAAGCGATTGTAAATGCTGAGATTTCTCTTCTCCTCTTTTAAACTTTGACTTTAGTATGGTTATGTTTCTCTTGTACACCCTCCTTATACACCTGTTTGTTTTTATTCAGTTTTCATTAGGCATTGTTCACTACTGCAGCTTTGTCTGTAGAAGCTATGAATCACCTGATCATTTGAGAACTAGATGTCTTGTTAGTTCAGCAGATGCTGGAATCATTCTGTAAACTAGACAAAACATTTTTTTGCTTAAGTTTTAGGCTTGGGCAACTGACTGAAAATTGTTGGATAATCTTCAAAAGAAGGTTGAAAGAGATGGTGTCTTTTTTTTTTTTTTTTTTTTTTTTTTTTTTTTTTTTAAATTTCTCTTGTGCTGTTCTTTCCTTGATAGATACCTTAGTTCATATCTTAGATTTCAATTTTAGTGCAATAGAAATACTAGTTTTAGGTAGCAAAATGATTCCCCTTTACATGTGAATGCAAAGTGTTTAAAAAAAAAAAATCTTGTTCACATTGGTGAATTGAACCCAATGTGCCTAGAAGATGCCATGTATTGCTGCAGGATTTATAGCAATGTTTCCATAAAGCAAACTAGGATCTTTAATATTTCTATGGCTCAGCACAACATATAATTAAACTGAAATGGTTACTATATTACTATAGCTTTTTTTTATAGTTTATACCTGAACTCTTCACAGATGAAGTTCGAAATGGATTGTATCGGCAACTATTCCACCCAGAACAACTTATTACTGGTAAGGAGGATGCTGCCAACAACTATGCTCGTGGACACTACACAGTGGGAAAAGAAATAATAGATTTAGTATTGGAAAGAGTGAGGAAGTTGGTGAGTATTGTGGCTTCTGGTTATGAAACTTGCTTTCTTGCTATTACTACTGTAGAGTTGTGAAGCAGGAAAAGTTAGGGCCCATTTACACCATTGTAATTGACACCCTAGTGCACATTCCCAGCATAATGCAGTCATGGTATACTGCCCAGAATGCTGCTTGCAGGATTATTGTTCTGGTGCATTAGACAGCCCTCTAAAATGCATAGCCTGTCTATACACCGCAGACCAGGCTGCTAAACAATGGGTGGATTTGCTAAGAGAACAGTTAATATGCCAATTCTTGGGTGGGGGAAAAAATACTAATGCCGTCACCACATGGATATATACTTTCTACTGGTACAGAAACAGTCTGCCAAAAGACCTATTTTAGACGGTGAACTCTGTCCTGACCAGGGAATCTGCTGACCAATCACCTGCTGATCAGTACATCTAGCCAGGTGTAAACTTGACTCTGCTGTCTATTTCCGCTACTCTAATCTGCCTAAACAGAAGAATGAAAAATACTGCTACTCTGACTCTACAGTTAGTGTGTCCGTCTAAGGACAGGAATTGTTATATTAACCTAGTACAGCCACCACATCTAACTGATCAGAATCAATATATTTAACATTTTATGTTTTTAGGCCTGAAGATTGCATAAAACCTCCAAATGTGTATTTTTGAAAGCAGAAACCCTACAGCAGGGGTGTCAGACTGGTAGCCCTCCAGCTGTTGCAAAACTACAAGTCCCATCATGCCTCATAGCCTTTGGGAGTCATGCTTGTAACTGTCAGCCTTGCAATACCTCATGAGATTAGTTTGGTAACAGCTGGAGGGCTGCCAGTTTGACACCCCTGCCCTAGAGAATAACATTTTTTATTTTTTTTTTCTCACAAGTAAATCTGAACACTTTAATTTTTTCTTCTAGGCTGATCAATGTACTGGTCTTCAAGGCTTCCTGATCTTCCACAGTTTTGGTGGGGGTACAGGCTCTGGGTTCACATCTCTACTCATGGAGCGACTGTCTGTGGATTATGGCAAAAAGTCCAAGCTTGAGTTTGCCATCTATCCAGCCCCACAAGTATCCACAGCTGTAGTGGAGCCATATAATTCAATATTAACAACTCATACAACACTGGAGCACTCAGACTGTGCCTTTATGGTGGATAATGAAGCTATTTATGACATCTGCAGGCGGAATCTTGATATTGAGCGCCCAACATACACAAACCTGAATCGTTTGATTGGCCAGATTGTGTCTTCCATTACTGCATCTCTGCGCTTTGATGGGGCCCTCAATGTGGATTTGACAGAATTCCAGACCAACTTGGTGCCTTATCCACGTATCCACTTCCCTCTAGTCACTTACTCTCCTATTATTTCTGCTGAGAAGGCTTACCATGAGCAGCTCTCTGTCTCTGAGATAACAAATGCCTGCTTTGAACCTTCAAATCAGATGGTGAAATGTGACCCGAGGCATGGAAAATACATGGCATGTTGTATGCTGTATCGTGGAGATGTGGTTCCCAAAGATGTGAATGCTGCAATAGCTGCCATTAAGACAAAACGCAGTATCCAGTTTGTGGATTGGTGTCCAACAGGTTTTAAGGTAAAATCTTATCTATTTTTACTTCATTGCTTACCTTTTTAGACAATTTATTTGGTACCCTAATGAAATTGTGCTGGGTTACACGTGAGGTTTTTATTCTTGTAGGGTTTCTATAAACTCTTCAGCATAAATCTGTAGAGTAAAATTAGCTCAAGTGTCAGTTAATTTAATTTTGGTGCAGAGTGGCATGATGCTATAATTATAATAAAAAAATTGTGGAGCTCAATCAATGAGTAACTTACCTCCAGGGTTTAAGTACTTGGCTTGCTTAATTTTGTGGCAGTTGTATGCTACCAGTGTATATAAACATGCTCTTAAGTTAGCTTTTATTTTAAAGATGGTGTGGGGGGGTTTTTCTTTCTTCTCACATTGTTTGGGTAAGGAGCATAAAAATGCTGAACGTCGTATATTGACTTTGGAAAGTTAATGAAATATGAGCTGTTCTTGGTAACATGTTTCTGATTTTGTTACAGGTGGGCATAAACTACCAACCACCCACTGTGGTCCCAGGTGGGGATCTGGCAAAGGTACAACGAGCAGTATGCATGCTTAGTAATACCACAGCCATAGCTGAGGCATGGGCACGGCTGGATCACAAGTTTGACTTGATGTATGCCAAGCGTGCTTTTGTTCACTGGTATGTGGGTGAAGGCATGGAAGAAGGAGAGTTCTCTGAAGCACGAGAAGATCTGGCTGCATTGGAGAAAGATTATGAGGAGGTTGGCACAGACTCTGTGGAGGGAGAAGAGGATGGCGATGAATACTAATGCTGATGAGGCATTATGGGAGAAAAAGTGCCTTTTTTAATTACCATTCTGATCATGGCTGCTTTTGAATAAAGATTTTCCACTAACAAACTTGTTTTTATTAACTTTAGCATTTAATCTTTGATTATAGTACAGAAAGTAAATATTTTAGCTTGCTGTATTAAAACAGACTACTTTTGTAAAGTAATGTTTTTCAGTTACATGTGTAGTCCTGCTGGATTTATGGCCTCTTCTACCAGAGCAAGCTCCCTATGTCCTGTTGACTGAATGGATTGGAAGACTAGCAATGTGTCACAGATTAACCTTAAGTAAGTCTGACTGGCTTTAAGAGGGTGATATTAACTTCTTTTTCACATTCATTACAAGCAGTAAAAGAAATTGGGTTTTTTTCTCTTGCCTAACTGTACTCCAAAGCAATTATCCGATCAGTACAAGCCTGAAACTGGTTTCTAACAATTTAGGAATGTCTGGCACATTAAAGGCTGGCAGGCTCCAAGGATCTGCTGTTGTAGATTTCAGTGCCTCTGAAAATGAATTTCATAACAATGTCTATAGCTAACTGATGGCTTATTTATAAGCCTTTACTGCTTGGCTTATTTATAAGCAGTTCAGAATATGTTAAATATTCAACTGCATGGTCAGTTTTCATGGATGCTGAGGGCTATGAAATGCAGGCAGTACCTGCACATTGCTGCAGCAGCTTTTAGAATTCTGGGCTGTTCTGGTAAGTAAAGTGCTGACCTGTCAAGTAGTGTTGGAATTACTCCCATACATTCCTTTGTGGTCAGGGATGGGCTGCTGGGCATGTGGAAATGGGTAGGCACATTTTCAACCAATAGAAAGGATAAGTGGAAGTTTTTTGATTTTATTCCAGTATTGTATGAAAACTGATGTAGGGCACATCTAGATTGCTGTTTTTGTAACAATATTAGGGGAACAGGCTCCTGTACCACCAACAAATTGGGTCTTCTGGCTTGATTTGCTGCCTTAGCACAAGAATTTAGTAGGTGCTCAGGTATGATAAACATATTGCAGGGCAGTTACTGAAACAGAGGATAGAGAGGCAGTAATAAAGCTAGGCAATTACATTTAAAGCAGTAGTAAACTCAGCCACCATGAATGGAAAGAAACCGGAAACAATGCACACAGCTATAGTCTGCTGAAAAATCCAAATCTCAGCCAAAGCCTATGCCATATTGGGACTCTTCCTTATCCAGCGTCTCTCTATGATGGCTGTAATTGTGCAGATGTGCATTATGAATGAGCTGAGCCTTGCTTTGATTCTGTGGGAACATGGCCCCATAGCTCCTGTGCTTGATTGCTGATGTTTACACGCCTTGTGATGTAAAAAAAAAAAAAAAAAAACCTTTTCATGGGCTTGCAATGCTGCAGAGAGTGGATGAGGGGGGCACGGCATTCTACAGAAAAAGGACTCAAGGCACACAGCATGCTGTGCATTGTGGCTAAAAGGTGTATGCAGGTGGTGGTATCAATGGATTGAAGATCGTGCCGTTTCTATAATAGCATAGGTTAATGATTTAAATTGAGGAAAGTAGAAACGGTGAGTCTACTACCATGTTAAAGCGTAAGTTTGTTTTAGAAGCTCCACTCAGATATTCTCTGCTGTGGGTTACTGCACTTAGTGACAATTTAAAAAAAAAAAAAAAAAATTGTATTTGTAGAATCAATTATTTTTTTTTTTTTTTTTTTTAATGGCTTACTTTCTGCCACCCTGTAACATTCTCTGGGAGCTCCTGAACATCTGCTCCCTCTTAGACTTCTGGTTGTCTGAATAAAAAACTGTAAGGTTTCATGTACACAGGGAGTTTGGAAAACTCTTCTGAACGATGGAAAAACTGATTGCTGGAAACCGTAGGTTAAAAAAAAGTCAGTTTTAGCTGCATTTACATAATGTGTTTATGCACGGTTGCGTTTTAAAAGATAACCTCAGGAGACCCTCCCAAATGCCCAGAATGCACTGAAACATAATAAATTCACAAAAAAGGCTACTAAAGCACCGCATGAGTTATTTTAGTGAAAAGCATGCATTAATGTTTCAGCTGTCAGCGGGATTCCCACCGACAGCTGAATGTAAAAGAAAGAAATGCTGGCAGTTAAAAAATAAAACGGTGTAAGGTCCCCCCCTCCCATCCATACCAAGCCTTTCGGGTCCCACGCCAAAATAAAAAAAAAAAAAAATGGCGTGCGGTTCTCCCCAAAATTTCCCATAACCCCCCCCCCCCCCCCCCTGGAACTATACCAGGACACATGCCTTCAACATTGAGGGGCCGCTCTGAAGGGAAAAAAAAAAAAAGCTCCACTACTGACGCTGGCCCCAGGCCGTCTGCTCAGAAGCTGGTTTGACAGTTCTTAAATATGTTAGGGGTGGGCCACCTGGTGACATCACCTGTGTAACATCGGGGCATGCTGGTCACTGATGTCACATGGGGGTGGGTCACATGTGATGGCCCCGCCCCTTACATATTTAAGAACTGTCAAGGCGGCTTCTGAGCAGATGGTCAGGGGGCCAGCGTCGGTAGCTGAGCGGTTTTTTTCTTTTCTTCGGAGCGGCGGCAGACAGCGTGATTGACATTGGATCTACTTAAGGGGACATTCTTTTATTAAAGGACTTGTCAAAAAATGACTCGCCTTTTTTCACACTACAGGTTTTTTTTTTGTGAATGGGTAGCGGTACCATGTACCCCATACTTATTCACATGGGGGGGGGCTGGGATCTGGAAGAGGACCTTGTCCCCAGAGCTCCCCCTACCCCAAAGCACCCCCCCATGTTGAGGGCATGTGGCCTGGTATGGTTCGAGGGGGTGCTCACCCCCTTCCTTCCCTGACCTGCTGGGCTGCATGTTCGGATAAGGGTTTGGTATGGATTTTGGGGGGGGGGGGGGGTTTTGGCGTGGGCGTGTGGCTTCCCCTCAAAATCCATACCAGACCCGAAGGGCTTTAAATTATTTTTTAATTGCCGGCAATTCTATTACATTCAGCTGTCAGTGGGAACCCCGCTGACAGCTGAAACGTGATGCATGCTTTTCACTACTAAAATTCCACATGACTTGATAAAATCATGCAATATTTTAGTAGCCTTTTTTAGTGGATTCCAATGGGTTTTAATTTTTTAAAAATGCTACGCGGTATCCTACTGCGTACTCGGATGCGGTAGGATACTGCTTAGTGAATTGTGCCCTGGATATGGACCAGTCAAAAAACACTTAGAAACACTGATAAAATCTATTCCTGAATGCAAGTTTGGTGCGTTCAAAAAATGACATAGTGTACATGGAAACAGAAAACGGAGAGTTCAGGGGCTGCTGAAAAAAAAAATGCAGAAAAGCTCCTGAACGTGAGGTTATCAGCTGCAGTGTACATGAACCTTAAATGTTGTCATGTGCATTGCTCTGTGCACACTACACATCCCATAGGCCCTAGCCCAGAGGTAGGCAATCTTTGAGAGGTGGAGATCTACCTGAACAACATGAAATAGATCAAAGATCACGGGTTCAGCGCCATTTAAAAAGGAAAAAAAAAAAGAGGAAAATTTAGAAAATATAATAAAAACAAATGTCACTCTAAAAATACAAACAGCCTACCATAAAAATGGACACTCAGTAGAGTAGAGGTTGTTGTCAGTCAGTAGGGCAATGGATGGTGTCAGTAGTTTTTGCTTTTACATTTTTATTTTTTTAATATTTTTCACAAATTCTTTAGGAGCCCTGTTGAAAGGGACTTGGGGGAAGGGCCAGGCAGCAGAAAAGAAAGGAACAAGGGTTGAAGGGGCAACGGGGGGGGGGGGGGGGGGGGGGGGGGGCATTTACTAGAATGTTCCCCTGGATTTTCCTCCAGCAGCTGTACACTGGTGGGAGGGCGAGGAGGAAATGCTAGCTTTCAGCTACTCTAGGAGGACAATATAGGGGATCATCGGAAGGTAGGTATTTTAGAAATCTGAATTCCCAACAATTGGCTGGGGACTGGGATTTTTCTGCCCCCCAGCTATGCTGGTGCCTTAAGATGGCTGCCTAAGCAGCTGTATGCTGGGTGCCAGCATAAGGCTGCTAAGCAGTTGCCTTAGGGTAGCTGGGGGACAGAAAAATCTCAATTACCAAGCCAATTGCTGGGAATTCAGATTTCTAAAATACCTGTCCATGGGAGGAAGGGGCTAGAGGTCACTGCAATGGGGGAAGGGGGGGCAGAGGACACTATTGTGTGGGC